TGACACGCATTGAAGACCTGCAGAGACTTTCTTTCCGAGAGATCGGAAATTTAAGGGACTCATGCAACTCCATAAATGGGATATAACACTTTTATCTTGGATTCTCCTGAATGCGTGTTCTCTCAGCGAAATTACAGATAAAAAACCGAACCCGGATGCATTTGCAGACGCCATTGGTAAATTTCGGATAGTCAGGAATAAAATAGTTCATAAACCTTCTTTGAACGTTTCAGAGAATGACTACCAATCCCCTCTTAGAGATATCAAGGACTCCATTGAGACTTGTTTGGTTAATATCGATGATCCAGACTTTTCAGAAGATATAGACAATGAAGTAGAAGAAAAAGAAAGAGCTGCATTAACAAAAGACGAAGCAATTCGGAGACTACAAATTTGTCAAAAGGATACAGCTGAGCACGTCAAACTATTTACAAAGTATAGTCAAATTTTTTGTCATGTTTGTTTGTTTGTTTCTGTTGTTGTTAATTTGTTTAAATTGCCGAAATACTAATGATCTGAAATTATATAGATTGATAATTATCGTAAGGAATGTGAATGATCTTTTGACGATTTATTATAATATATCTGCTATACCTTCAGGACAATGCTGCATTTTACGAGAGCTTTCAACAATTGTGCGCAAATTCACGGGCTTAACAATCACTGCAGTATACCGTACCCTGGATATTGCTCGATATTATGAGGACATTCATCCCATTTCGCGACTTTGAACCACAGGCACGAGTATCGGACCTGGGATGAAAATATATGACCAGATTGATAATAAAACCTGTGTTCATCTTAAAAGTGTCAAAAACCAAAAAAAAAAATTGTAAAAAATGACCCCCTTTAAAATATACTATAAGTTAAGAGAAAGCCGGAAACTCCAGATTCGAGCCTACGAGCAAGGGATTCATTTCCCGAGCCGTTGTGAAAACAATTGGCCAGACAATTAAAAAAGACTTTTATCACTATTTCACGTTTGTATTAAGCTTCCAAATGAGACCGACCCCAAGTCTATAGCTCTTCCCGTTCATGAAATATCTATCGGGAAACGAGCGAATTCGTGCTAAAAATCCTTGGTAGACAGAATTGCGGCACAACGATTCGGTACGTAAACATAGACTAATACATGTTTGTCAGCTGAGTACGGGTCAAAATCACTTGAATTTACTAAATAATATTACTAAATACATTAAGTTGGACCACTCACAAGCGTCAGTAGCACCTGATACACACGAGATTCGAGTTTCAAACATTTACACGGTCTTTCAATCGCTTTCTACGCCATTATGCATCCTTGTGTGAAACGTTGCGGTTTCGTTGCTATTGGCCAATCAGAAGACTCGTTACAAAATATCGAACAGCTGATTGACAATGGCGTTGAAAGGAATCTAAATACTGTGGAAAGGTTTGAAATTCGAATTTTACGTGTAACAGATGCTACTGACGGGTGTGAGTGGTCCAACTTAATGTATTTAGTAATATTATTTAGTAAATTCAAGTTCGAATTTTCTGTGCTTACAAAGTTCTCGTTGCTATCGAAGGATCAACCTTTCCAGAATTTGTTAATAATTATTGCATATCTAAATTTAAATAGTAAAAAAAGCATCCAAAGTCCATTAATGCTGCCTGAAGATTGTCAATATTAGATGGTATTGAGCAAGTGTGCCAATATCTATTATCGACCGACTTCCTACTATGCCAAAAATCCATAAAAAGGTAACTTTCGGTCATTTTGTACCTGCACTCTAGCAACGGCAGACCGTCTGCATGTGAAATGTGTTACGCCATTAGCAATGAGTTACCGTATGACTGCCGAGCGAATACAGCTCAAAATAAATCGAATAATGGATTTAGATAAGATTATGATAAAGGGCAGCAGATGCAATAAGAAGGTTATGTTCCTTATTACCTTTTACCACATAAAGACGTGTTTTAAGGCTGTCTTGTGCCGTCCTGCTTTTGTTTGGGGTCCGCCTGGGCTCCTTGTCACTGGTTCATGTTGCTGGGTCGTAGTGGGGTTGCGTTCATTGAACGCCGCCTTTCCTTTCCTTTTCTTTTTTATCATATTTGAAGGCTTTACACCCCACCCCTTTTGAGGCCTGAAATAGTGTAAAACATGCGCTATTTAGAAATTTTGAGTTTGAGAAAATTAACTTTTTCGGCGCCACCACCACACCCCAGTAAAAAGGTACATCAAGGAGGTGCCACAGGGGAGGTGTACCCCCTTCTGTTTGGGGGTTTGAAGTGTGACAGTAGCCCCTCTTATCGCCGAGAAGATTTGGAACTTGTGGGGGGGGGGCTAAAATGGCCTTAGGTCGATTTAAACGTACCGTGTAATCAACGCCGAAAATCTTAGACTTTATCTCAATCAATTGAGAAGTTGCTGCACCTTGAAATCAGTTTTGATGGGGGAAAAACAACGCAAAAAAGAGATTTTTGGCAATTTTGAGACGTCCCCCCGTTGTCATGGTAACTGGAAATTTCAAATTGAGCATGGTGTTCCACAGGCTATGGTCCAGCTAACATTTGTGCCCAGTTTGATCAGTATTGAAGCATTTTTTTTATAGTTTCATAGCAGTTTGAACTTGTAAAAGAGCCTTAAATCAATGTTTTTTTTTCTTCTTCTTTTCAGAGATGGGTCTTTCTTGAGACATGCATTTAAAGATTTTTATCGTCAATTTTGATGGTTCATCCCTGCTCCCAACCCTGCTTCCGACCCTGCACAAACTTTATTTCATCCATAGTGTGTTTTTCAATCAAGTTGGAAATTAAATCTCTGTATTTACCCATAGGAAAAGAACAGTAATAACGCTGAAAATGCATTTTTGAATCTGAATATTTGAATAGATATCACATAAACAGTACATTATCTGACAGCAAAATGTAATGGAATCAATAAACAGACTTAAAAATTAGACAAAAATATCGATTTTCCATACTTATGTGCTCATTTTGTTTTGCAATACACTGTACACTAAATTTGGGCTATTTTGCAATAGTCTGTACACTTAAAATCAATACTCGGTACACTTTCTTGTATCTTTTTTTGGCCTGTATCTTTTTGTACTTTCACACTTTTTGGTTGAAATTTGGACAAAGCATACTTGGATTGTGGATAAAAAAATTGCTCGGTTCAATTTTTTTTATATTGATAATATAATAATTTCTAACGATTCTACAGTATCGCGGTCAGTATTTCCTAGTGAGCAGCAGATCGTTTAGAGGTAGTTTAATCAATTTTACAAATACCTGTAATACTTTTACGTCTTTTAGAGCTACAAAAATACCTCTAGATATATAAAACCCGTTGAAATAGCCATTAGTTTGGAAAATATCGTCGTTGAACTTACCTTCGTTCTCCGTTTAAAGTCGCGAAATGGGATGAAAGTCCTCATAATATCGAGCAATATCCGGGATACGGTATACCGCAGTGACAATACCAGGTAATTTAAACCTAAAACCTAATGATTCTTTATACAACCGCTACTCATCATTAAATATCAGTATGTGATGGTAAGTAATAGATATACCATTGCTGCGTTGACGATTTCTGGGTTTGCGTAAATTATACCATAATCACGTGACCTTTCTTATGCCTTAACCTCACGAGACGAATCGAGTGAGGTTGCATAAGAAAGGTCACGTGATTATGGTATAATTTACGCAAATTCGTCTCGTGAGGTTAAGGCATAAGAAAGGTCACGCGATTATGGTATAATTTACGCAAACCCAGAAATCGTCAACGCACCAATGGTGTATTTGTTTTAACCTATAGCTCCGCCCAGAAACACTTAATTACTCCTTCGATCTTCAAAATTGAAAATTATACCATAGTCTGGGTGTGGTATAATTTACGGTTATTGGAAATTATACTTGGAAGAATTTTACATAAGAAGCGCTGAAGAGCTATAGGTTAATATGTTCATAGACAGTTATTTGTTTGCTAAACTAAATAAAATTTACGTCATTCAGTTAGTATAAGACAGTTATGTAGGTTGTCAACATGTATCTTGTACAGTAGTGTAAATATTTCCACGATACTATTTTTAAATTAGCGTTAACATTTCGTTTTTGACACGCTTCAAAAAATTATATTAAGAGTTGAACATATCTACATGTATTTAAACATGACATTTGTTTGAAAAAATTACACAAAATATCATATGGAAAACCAGATTGGATATAAAATTCAAAAGAAATGTCAACCTTGAAATACTATTTTAGAATAAAAAAAAGTTCGGCAAGACTAACACAAATATTGCGATTGAATATTGTAGACTATTTTAAAGTATTAAAATGGAAAACAAATTTTACTGCCGTTATCATTTTAATAACTTGCAAAACTTAAAAATTCATTTTCCTTCGAAGGGATTGGGGTACTCCTAACGAAGTACTATTTTTTTCTCTTTAAGACAAAAATTATTAATATCATACGATAAATAAACAAAAAAAACCAAAAAAGTCTTAGTCCAAGGCATGATTTTCTTTGATCGGAACCATCATTAAAGTTACGAAAAAGGAAATTTGTGCAATTTGTTAACTTTGATTTTTTACATTGGTTCCCTAAAAACACAAGTCTATTAATAGCTCTATCTTTAATTAGGTGCGCATACTGTTTATTTACATATTACGTTCACCCTGTGAGGTACCCCTCTTATGAGTACTGTTGGAAAACAAAATATACTTATATAACTAACGGGAACTATAAAAAATCACACGTTCCATGCCTTTTTGCATATCTCGAATAAATAAATCTAAACTAGGCAGACGATGTTATTTATTCACTCATTTGTAGGTCAATGTTCAGATGCATATATTTTAGATTCTTTTTGGGAAACAAAATGTTTGCGCTCTAAATGAAACTTACTAATGAAACATAGAAAAAAAAAATTCCAGAAAAGCTTTATATTTACTTAATTACTCCTGTTTCTACATTAAAACAAATGGCAATTTGCATGTGAACCATATTCATAACTTTTTTTTATAGAATGTTTTCAACAACTGCAGCGAAGACTGCGAGAAGAAACTCTCAGAAATATTGGTGGACAATATCAACCAACTTGTTACTGGAAATGGGACGGCAAACGATGATCTGAAGAACGAGCTTGTTAAGCTAATAGAAAGATGTAAAAACCAGATATAATCTGCCGTCTTTATCGATTTCAACACAGAAGGAAGGTAATTGAATTTATAAATGAGGAATTGTTTTCAATCGTTTTTAGCTCGATTTTTTTAAATAAATAAATACAAAAAATAAAGGTGTCGGCGTTGACGTCGCCGTTGCTGTCTGCAGACTTTAACCTTGATCATAACTTTTATAGTTATTGGTTTATTGTAATTATACTTGACCACAACAACTAAGGACAAGACCTTCAAGTAAACCAGACTATACTAGACCTACATTCATAAATGACATTGACCATTAAGGTAAAATGCCTAAATTTTGGTTGATTTTGCTGATTTTTGTTATGTAAGCGGCTATACCTTTGTTAGTTTTGATTGAATTGTCTTCAAACTTTTCACAGCAGTCTTTTGGGATAGACCTACAAGTTAAGCGGAAAACCATTGACCTTTACAATAAATGACATTGACCTTGAAGGTTAAATTGATTTTTGATGTAACTGAGCTATAACGTTGTTATTAATATAGGGATTTACTTCATATGGAGACACTACATTCTTTAAGATAAGCCCTTTTTGCATATTAAACTCGAACTGACTTAAGCTCATTCATGACATTGACCTTGAAGGTTAAATTATAAAATATTAACTTATTTTGGTGATAATTGACTGTAACTTGGATTATCTTCATACTGGAGCAAATCAACCTTTTGGACAATACCTTCTAAACAGTTGAATTGACTTTGAGCTTTAAATAACCTTGTTCGACGAGGTCAAATTACTAAAATTTGGTTTAATTGTCATAATTTTGTTATTTATGTACGGATTTGATTTATACTTGGACAAAACAAAACTTGTTACTAAAAAAATGACCATCAAGGTCAAATTAAAAGTTAAAGTGACAAAGCAAACCTCTTTGTTACACGTAAAGAGTTACATTACAAATAATATCTATTAATACAACTGCTGCGCATGTTACCAATTTAACAACTTTGAAAAAAATATTGATCAAATACAATTGCATTTAAAACACGAATTGATCGATCTTTTTATTCTGCATGTAGGTGTATACATAAACGAAAACACAAAAGAAAGCTTAGAAGGTCAATTAAAAGAGTCAAAAACGGGAGAAAATTCATTTATGTCATACACGACACATTCTGACAGAACAGGACAAGGTAAAATATTCGATTACAGCATAATCTTTAACTTGTGTTATGGCTTTCATTTAAGAAATAAATTATTGTGAAACTATTCATCAAAGTCAATCGTTAAACAGAGAGAAAGCTGTACTTGATCTATATACACTATACTAATTTGTGTATGCCGCAGATTTAATTTCATTAAACACTATAATTAACACCATATATTTTATTATACCATGTTAAATTAAATGTTTATTTTCATGTCATATAATAGCAGTTTAAATATTATCTGAATAAGATAAATATGGGAGCAGACGAAACTGCTGTCATTCATATTAAAAATTTTGTAAACTCAAAAATAGCTAATCATCTATCACGAAACATAAAAGGTAATAATTATAACATGATAAATCGGTCCCGGGTAACATTGTTTTGCTCACCAGAGCTCTTCACTAAGGTGAGTTTTTGTTATGGCAGTGCATGTGTCCGTTGTAGTCGTTGGTCGTCCTTCGTCTGTCGTTATTAACAATTTCTATAAACAACATCTTCTCATAATTTTTAATAAACATCAACTGGAATATACCTTAGTGGTCCTCTAAACAGTTACATAAATGGTGCAAGTCTGATACATATATAGGTCACAGGAGCTAGAAATAGACTTTCAAAATGAATTCTTTATATATCTTATTTTCAGAATCTACAATATTCTGGCATGTTGCGTCACATTTTGGTCCTCTCCTAATTTATATAAATCTTAGCCTCACTCCATGGATCGTTTTGTCTACTTACCGTTATATATATATTTATAAAGTTTTCTTTTATGAAACTGCAAAGCACTGTACTTAAGTGAAATGTAGCATTTTAAAGTGAACCTCTCACAAAGGTTGAATAGTCATGCCCTTTGAGTCAAAAATGGCCCTGCCCAAGGGGTCACTTAGTTAACAATACGCTTGTATAAGAAAAAAGTCTTAAATGTCAAATATGCTTCTGAGGGATCACTTTTTAAAAAAACAATCATCTACTCTGAAAGTACAATTCCCAGAGCTTAGATATTTGTCATGTAACATCCTCTTGTACTCCTCAACATTTATATAAATCATGTCTCTGTGGTCAAAAGGGGTCACTTAGTTTTGCATTAGCTTATAAAGAAAAACACATAAAGTCATTTTTTTTAAACTACAATGCCTAATTTGTATTAATGCCAATTGGATCTTCAAAATATGTATACCATGTGGTCAAAATTGGTCCCGCCCCAAAGATCAGTTAGTTTGTATAATCTTGTATTGTAAAAATATCTTAAAAGACTTCTACTGAATAACCGCAATACCTATAGCTTGCATATTTTGCATGTTGTTCTCTAGTAATTTCTACAACTTTTTATGAATCATGCCCATGGGAGCAAAATTGATCCTGTCCCATTGGTCTTTTAATCTTTATAAACTTGTATAGTAAATCTACATTTAACTTGTATAGTAAAACTACATTGTATCTTTAAATTTCCCGAGAAACAATAATGCTCAATGTTTAGATATTTGGCATGACGCGTCACCTTGGAAATCTCTTCAAAAGTTATTCAAATTATGCTCCTGGGGTCAAAATTGGCCATGCCGAAGGGGTCATTTATTTTATATAGACTGATATAGGGAAATACATAACTATAAGACTTCTTTTGTGAAACAACAATGTCAAGAGCTGAGTCATTGACTAAAAATGTCTATCTTAGTTATATAAGTCATGTCCCTGGGTCACAAATGAACAATGGACTTGTCTAGGAAATACAATTTAATATTCCTTTGTGAAACTTCAATGCCAAGAATGTAAGCTTTTGTCATTAAGCATTTCGTAGCAGACATCTACAAGTATTTAAAAGATTATGCAACTTTACCAAATTTTATGTGTCCCCATTACTGACTTTAAAATTGTAAAACAAATATTGTGATCTTTTCTAGTAATGTATCTCAGGGCAGCGATCCAGAGCTATCATGGCCCTTTTGTTGTATTTAATCATATCTTTCAGACTTTATGCGTACAAAAATCGCCTTGATCATGTCTTATCAAACATCAGCACAAGAAGACATATCGTATTCGAAGTCGTGTCCAGCCGATTTTTACGTGCCCCTTGATCTCGAGTTGAATGATATGAACAATGCTGAACAACTGTATCTGGGACATGGAAGAACAATTGCTGAAGGACAGCCTAGTAGAAAATTGTTCCACTATCTGGAAATGTTTGAAAATATAGACAGTCAGTCTCGAAACATTTTGATTGTAGGACAAGCTGGGATGGGTAAAACGACTCTATGTCAGAAAATTGTTTCAGACTGGTCTGCGGTCCATATCAATCTGTTAACAGAAAATGATAGCGCAAACGACTGCAAAAATGGTAATTCGTCAATTTTGAGAAAATTTGATTTCTTATTCAAAATTTCTCATGTGGATATGAATGAGACTATAGAAAATACTATAGTTAACTTACTTGGCATTCCCGAAAGCACTGTAGTGGAGTATTTACAAAAGTACAATTGTTTGATTGTCCTTGATGGTATCGATAACTTGTCTATACCAGGAAAGGAAACTAGCCGCCATGAACTCCCGAAGATAACATCCACGCACAAATACACACTTGTAATAACCTCCAGGCCATGTGAATCATGGAAACCTCCAGAAGGGGAAACTATTCGTACAATAACAATTCAAGGAGTTTCTGCTGCAAACAGAAATTTGATGATAAAATCCGCGCTTTCACACCTGTTGAAGGCTCAAGATATATATTCCATCAAATTACATGAGGAAATTTCATCGACATTTATTAATGAAGTTCAAGAAAACATATATAGTGGCCTTTTGAGAAGTCCTCTGATGTTGAAAGGGTTAATCTATTTTTGGTTCGAGGACGGAATACATCTATCACGCTCTAACAAAGTTGTCAAAATGATAGATTGCGTGCATTATCATGCAATAAAACACTCGGGAAATACTTTTGATTTTAGAAATGATTCCGCATGCACGTCTGGGATTACATGGCTGACGGAACCAGATTGGTTCAGTTATGTTGTAGGGAAACAGTATCTGTCGTCATAATCGAAACTGGCATTTCACATGTTTTTTTCAGGAGAATTTATAAAAAATGACGTTTGTGTATTTGAAAACACATTGAGGCTTGAGAAGCTCGCACATTGCATGAATATCGGACTTCTCCCTGTCGGATCATCAAGTCCTTTTAAATCTTCCATTTACTTCCAAGAAAAAACACTTCAGGACTTTTTTGGTGCTCAGTTGTTTTGCACAAACGACGTAGACTACGTAGACCATTTAAGAACCTTACAAAGAAGAACCAATAGCATTGAACGCGTCCTGGAATTGCGAGAATTTATTCTGTTTCTCGGCGGTATGAATCCGAAGGCTATGAAAAATGTGAGTTGGCACGTAAGTGGCCTTGTAGATGCAGATGAAAGGTTTAGAATAGTAAGATTCAAAGGAGACCACACACAATCTGAGAGAAACCAGCATAGAATCTTAGTTAAAAGTCTAAGTGATATGTTCACGGACTGCATTGCCGAAAGTTTACATAGTAGCTTTACTGTATATGATATAATACTAAGAGACCTGTACATCGACAATGACTCTGTACAGAGAGTGTTGAAATGTTTTCCTTACATAAGGACTTCATATCTGAAAAGCTTACACATTGACTGTGATTGCAGCTTAACATCCACAATGATAGGAATTCAACCAATCGTTGAACAAACAAAAGATATTGTCGAAATGATACGCATATCACACCTGGATTTGTTTGAAAATGTGTTTCTTCATATTAAACATATGCGTTTATTGAAAAGTCTTGAATTGTGCAATCTCGATCTGACTCCAACTCAGATAGAACAATTACTCGGATCTGCACCAAATCCTGTACGAGTATTTCTTTACAATTTCGAAACAAAAAGCGAAATTTATGCACTTTTGCCGTGTGAGTATTCATCCAATTGCGCAAGAAAGAACAGTTGTGAAAGATGTCTTCATCATTCCGTGACAGAAAAGTATCCTGAATTAAAGGAAATAACACTAGAACTTTTACATAATGACTTCATTAGAATGAAGGAAATTCTGTCGTCATGGAAATGCAGTTGCACGGATGTAAAGCACTGCATGTGGCATACACTACACTGACAATACTATATACTATGGTATGTTAGACGTTCATGCAAAGTCATACTATCAATAATATCATGTACATTTATGTGAAGATATGGTTAATAAGTGCTTAGTTATATGATCATGTTATAAATTATTATAATAAATAGTTTATTATATTGATCTACTCGATGATACAAAGCAAGAGTGTTATTAAAACATCGCACTACATTGTACCAGTCATGCTAATTTCCATGGAAAAGTGGAAAATGTATAAGAAAAAAAGTAAAATATTTTAAGTGACACATTACAAAGGCGCTATAAAATTATAGCCACTTAAAATTACCAAATGAATGACCAAGTATGGGAAAAAAACCTTACTACGTTAGTCACGCAGTGTGAATATGGTGATAGATACTGCAAAATCAATCATACATTGCATGATTTTGTAAATCAGTTTCATGAAATCTTAATTAACATTTGAATGTTTACAGTGTTCATATTTTGTCTTAGCATTGCATTGTTGCTTATGTTGACGTCAATATTCTGCACGGATTGTAAAATTGTTTACATGTTGTTTTCTGTGATATTTTTAAATCTTTTGTTACTCTAATTTTCAGTAAACATGTTTATAGTGGAAGACAAAATATTTTAGATGTCTTCAATATGTGTGTGTATATTTATGAATGACAATTCTTACTTTATAAAAGAATTGGACTGAATTCAATGTGTTACATATTTGTTCCTTTTACATTTTTGTAATTGACAAAATCATTGTTGTTGTTTTAATCACTTTGGAGTGTATATATTTTCTTACGACGAAGAAAAGTGACGAGATAACCATGTGCAGTGGTGACTGTACCTCGTATAGTTCATTGATGTACATTGATATTTTTAGATAGTTAATTGCACTTTAGATAGTTAATTGCATTAACTTGTCTAACCCGTATACATGTATTAGACATGTTGTAAAATCTTGAATATATATTTGTATATAACTACATCAATTCAAGATGTGTACATATATATAGAAATACAAACATGTTTACGAAATTATTTAAAGAATAATCTTTTACATTATCATTGTTGTTATACATGGAATGCATAAAGTTTAATAAAAAAATCATTTAAAACCGTGTTAATTTCTGTTCTAATTTACATTCATGATATGAGCCGCGTCATGACAAAACCAACATAATAGGTTTGCGACCAGCATGGATCCAGACCAGCCTGCGCTTGCGCAGTCTGATCAGGATCCATGCTGTTCGCTTTCAGTTTTTGGGGGGCTATGCCGACCCCC